GAAGCGATATGATCACTACGTACAAAATAATAATAGGAATCGATAAAGTTGATAGGGAAGAAATCCCGAGACCCGGAACTTCAAGAACAAGAGGTCATAGATTCAGGTCAAACAAAGCGGCCAGAGGAATATAAGAATTTCACTTTTGTAAACTGAGTGGTAGACGGTTGGAACAAGTTAGGTGAGAAGGTGGTGGAGGCCAAAACCGTCAGTAATTTCAAAGCGTTATATGACAAAGAGTGCTGGGGAGACTGGACACCACGAGCGTAGCTCTCATCCTGTAAACTACACTTAGGTAATTACACACACATATACATATATATATGACTGGAGTTTAGGTGGATATAAAGAGGAGCTGCCTAATATGGGCCAATAGGCATTCTGCAGTTCCTTTTATGCTTATGTTAATTACAGCAACAACAACACTAGCTTGGCTATAACTTATACAGAACATAGATGTGCACTGCATGACGGGGCACTTCAAAACCATGCATTACAAAACAAAGAATAAAAAAAAAAGCAGACAAAAGTGCACAAAAAAGGAAGTGGGTTTAAGATTTGACAAAATATGAAATGGAGAAATATGACATCAAAAGCCTGACAAATGACACGTCGAGAGTGTCGGGCACCTGACAAAGTAAGCTATGAAGGAACATCCGATTTCGGATAATTAGCAAAATTAAAGCTTTTTATATAAAAAATAAATTCATAGGTTATTTATGAAACTGAAAATCACTTGCTTTCTTCATAAAATTTCCCAATACCTGAAATTCACATTTATGACTTTTCACTCGAAACATGTCTATTATTATTATTTCTGTATTATTATTTAGATACATATATAGATATAGGGATAGATATAGAGATACACAGTATCTGTGTGTGTATGTGTGTGTAAATTACCTAAGTGTAGTTACAGGATGAGAGCTACGCTTGTGGTGTCCCATTTACCCAGCACTCTGTCATATAATGCTTTGAAACTACTGACAGTTTTGACCTCCACCTCCTTCTCACCTAACGTGTTCCAACCATCTATCACTGTTTGCGAAAGTGACTTTTCTTACATTTCTTCGGCATCTTTATTTAGTTAGTTTAAATATACGACTTCTTGTTCTTGAAATTCCAGGTCTCAGGAAATCTTCCCTATCAATTTTATCAATTCCTGTTACTATTTTGTATGTAGTGATCATATCACCTCTTTTTTTTCTGTCTTCTAGTTTTGGCATATTTAATGCCTCTAACCTTTCCTCGTACCTCTTACCCCTCAGTTCTGGGAACCACTTTGTTGCATGTCTTTGCACATTTTCCAGTTTGTTGATGTGCTTCTTAAGATATGGGCACCACACAACCATTGTGTATTCTAGCTTTGGCCAAACAAAAGTCATGAACAATTTCTTTAGTATTTCGTCATCCATGTATTTAAAAGCAATTCCGAAGTTAGAAAGCGTAGCATAGACTCCTCACACAACTTTCTTTATGTGGTCCTCAGGTGAGTGTTTACTATCTAGAACCACCCCAAGATATCTTTATCAGAATTCTTTAAAGATTTCTCACATAATTTATAGGTTGTGTGGGGTCTATGTTCTCCTATTCCACATTCCATAATATGGCATTTGTTCACATTAAATTCCATTTGCCAAGTGGTGCTCTATATATTTATTTTGTCTAGGTCATCTTGAAGGGCATGACAATCATCTAAGTTTCTTATCCTTCCTACATCTTAGCATTATCAGCAAACATGTTCATATAATTCTGTATTCCATCTGGCAGATCATTTATGTAGACAATGAATATCACTAGTGCAAGAACTAAACCCTGTAGTATTCCACTTGTGACATTTCTCTAGTCCGATACATTACCTCTGATTACGGCCCTCATTTTTCTATCAATTAGACAATTTTTCATCCATGTTAGAAGCTTACCTGTCACCCCTCCAATATTTTCCAGTTTCCAGAACAACCTCTCATGTGAAACTCTGTTGAAAGCCTTTTTAAGGGCCAGATAGATGCAGTCAACCCAACCCTCTCTTTCCTATTAAATCTCTGTGGCTCTATCATAGAAACCGAATAAATTTGAGACACAGGATCTTCCAGACCGAAAACCAAACCATACTGTCTGTTTGATATATCATTTCTCTCCAGGTGTTCTATCCCATTTAGTTTTAATTATTTTTTCCAATATTTTGAGTATTACACTTGTCAATGATACAGGTCTATAATTGAGGGAGACTTCCCTGCTGCCACTTTTGTAGATTGGAACTATGTCAGCCTTTTTCCACACATCAGCTACAATGCCTGTACACAGGGATGCCTGAAAAATCAGTTGGAGTGGAATGCTGAGCTCAGGTGCACATTCTCTCAGAACCCATGGTGAAACTCAGTCTAGACCAACTGCTTTGTTCTTGCTTAGCTCCTTGAGCATTTTTTCCACTTCGACTGTAGATACCTTTATGCGCTCTATGTTCTCTGGAATTCTTATTGTGTCTGGTTCCCTGAAGACTTCATTTTGCACAAACACACTTTGGAACTTTTCGTTTAATGTTTCCACACATTTCCTTTTCATTTTCCATGAATCTGTTTCTCATTTTCAACCTCTGAATATTATCCTTTACCTGCAATTTGTTGTTTATGAATTTATAGAAGAGGCCTGGTTCTGTTTTATATTTTGTCCACCATACCTTTTTCAAAAATTTCTTTCTGCCTCTCTCCTCACTGCCGTGTAGTTGTTTCTTGCATCTTTGTAATGATGGTATGTTTGGGGGTTTGGCTTCTTCCTATAATGATTCCATACTTAAAAATGTCTTTTGATCTCTAGCCCTCTCGCAATTTCTGTTGAACCAACCCTGTTTCCTAGGTCTGCATCTGTTTTGGTATATGAATGTTTGTGTGCCTTCATTGTATATTTCGCAAAATTTGGCATACATCTCATTTACTTCCTTGCCTAACAACAAGTCTGTCCAATTATTCCGATTAAAAAATTTTCCTAGTTCCCCATTGAGTTTATCAACTGTTTCAATGTCCCCACTCTCTACTAGATTATATTGAAAAGCATATTTAATGTACAACAGGACATGATCACTCTTTCCCAATGGAGGTCTTTCCCAATGGAGGAAGGTATTGAATGTCAAATACCTCTTCTTCTTTCCTGGTGAATATTAGATCCAGTACTGACAGAACATCCCCTTCCCTCATTCTTTTGGCCTGCTTGATGTGTTGATATATGAAAGTTTCCAAAATGAGGTTTACAAATCTGTGTTCAAATGTCCTCCGTTCTGGCCTCATTGGACTCCCACTCTATTGCCTTAAAGATGAAGTTCCCCAGTCCCAACAATTGGGATTTATTTTTACAATTACAATTATCTTTACAATTATCATCTTATCACTCTGATTCCAGACCTGTAATGACATTATGTCAATATCTCGAGTGTTTTCAATTATTAACTCTCTTACCTTCAGGTGTTCTTTCACCAGCACAGCCACTCCTTCCCCATTCCTAGTTTTTCTGTCAATGTGTGCACGTGAGTGTACTCACCTAGTTGTACTCGTCTAGTTGTGTTTGCAGGGTTGAGCTTTGTCTTTTTGGTCCTGCCTCTCAACCATCAATCAACTGGTGTACAGATTCCTGAGCCTACTGGGCTCTATCATACCTACATTTGAAACTGTGTATGGAATCAGCCTCCACCACATCACTTCCTAGTGCATTCCATTTGTTATCTACTCCGACACTGAAACTCTTTCAAATGTCTCTGTAGCTCATTTGGGTACTAAGTTTCCACCTCTCTTTTGATCATATATGTATGTATGTATGTAATTACCCAAGTGTAATTACCCAAGTGTAGTTACAGGATGAGAGCTACGCTCGTGGTGTCCTGTCTTCCCAACACTCTTTGTCATATAACGCTTTGAAACTACTGACAGTCTTGGCCTCCACCACCTTCTCACCTAACTTGTTCCAACTGTCTACCACTCTGTATGTGTGTGCGCATGCGCGCGCGCAGCATGTGACTTGTCTTTCCAACATTTCTTGTCATGGAAGACACAAATAGCCTCAAATCTAAGGACCAGCAGCTGTCCAGGGTCCAAAAAACAAAAGTATGTAGATATGGCAGTGAAATGTGATGTAGTAACAAAAGTAAAATGAATGAAAATGAAGGGGGGTATACATTTATTAATACTGTAATACGGTAATTAATAAATCCTTTAACAAGAGTTCAAGGGGCTTCTGTGTAAAATTTAAGTTTGAAAGAGTAAACTTAAGGGAAGAAGTGCTACTTAAGAGAATGAGATTGGTAAAATACCTAGCAACTCTAGAATAATTATAATAAGTCCTTATTGTTATATGGGCAGAAATAGTACCCCAGAAATAAATGATGTTATACTGTAACTGCAGTTTACCCTCCCCCCTCCCCAATTTCTTTCAACTGGCATGGACTGGATTGGGTATACATTTAAACTTATTCAATCCCTAATATACCACTAACGTGCCAATATGTGCTACACTGTGATACTGATCCTATCACTGGCCATTTATGATCTTCCTGGAACTGTCCTACAAGTCTACACACCTGAACTACAAGTCTTTGACCTCACAGGCTGCATTACACGCCTCTATTTCTGTTTTACTATTTTATATGCTACGTCTAACAGCTTACGTGTGAGTTTACTTTCGTACCTCCATTTCCTGTCGCACTGCATCAAGTGCTTAGTTTTTAGTGTCCAAAACAATTGATTTAATTGTCCTCTTTATTGCCATCCCTGCAGGTGCATCTGTAAAGGTTTTCATTGTCTAGGTTCTTGGTATCTCCATAAAACACTGGCTTGCTAGTTCCTATACACTATTTTATTCTATCCTCTTGGTTACCTCTGACTGCCCTCATTCTTCTAATGGTCCGGCCTAAAGTTGGTGGTGATTTGAAGTGATTGGGTTAGAGTGAGGGGTGAGTGAGGGGTATGGATGAGTGTGTTGGTTTGGTTATGGGCATATGGTGGATGGATGCTTACCTATCAAAATCTTCAGGGAGCAAGATCTGACCCCTTTGGCCCTGCTTCCTATTTAATGGTACCAGCTGCTCTTCATTTTCAATCTCATGACAATTTAGCTCACTGCCATATATATTCTTGAATCTGAGGATGGAGATGGCTTTCATAACTAGATGCTCATATCAGTGTATTCCACTTGTTGGTCACCCACACTGCTTAAGAGCATTTTCTTACATCACTTATTTCCATTCAAACTTACACCCATGCCCTATTACCCCTACACTAACAAAACAAAAATAAAAAGACTGTGGTGTTGGAGTTTTGAGTTGGAGTTTGTTGGTGGAGCAATGAAGGTCATAGTGATGGTGGGCATTGTTTGGAGTCGACAACCTCGCTGGTTATCAAGCCCTTGTGAAGTATCCTTCCCAAGTTAAATATTCTCTTATCCTTTTAAAATGGATATATATAAAATGTATCCAATGATATGAAATGCTTATTTCTGAGCAGTCCATTTGTTGCTCACCAAACCAGATCATCAGAACACCCAGGACACTTAACACTCCAAACTCTAGTTTTAAATAAACTTTTCAAATGGTCTTGCTATGTAGTTGGAGAGAGAAGACAGTGGAGAGTCACACACTTTTCATCACCTGAGTAGTTGCTTGATGCAAGACGAAAAATTAACAAGCAACTCTACATCCTCTGCAAGTGATCATTGGTATTGCATTGACAGTAAATTATTGCCGTCAATTACCTATTAGGAAAATACATGCTACACCAACCGCCACCATGTTGCAGCATCAGCCACCACAACAGGGACAGTAGCTGGCAGCCCCTACTTAACACCCACATCATCCAAGCACAAAGGAAATAAAGACCTCAACAGCAAAAAACAGGAGCAACCGAGGGATCACCAAGAAAAGAATAATTTTATATCACTATGCTTTATTCCCATGTCTGCTCAATTTCTGCCATAGCTAGCCAACCCTGGAGCAACATCTACTGAAATAAAAAAGGATAAGTAGGCACTGATCTGAACAAGTACCATAAAGCACATACTACCAGGGAAAATTAACAACCAGAGCAGAAGACAAAAGTACCCAAGCACCAACAGGAGTCGGTTGTAAGACAGGTAGCCCAAAGCCCCACAATGCTGACGAGGCAGCAGTAGATAGGTAGGTAGATAACGAGTGGTGAATGTCTGGTTCAATCTCCAGAAACACCAAGCTCAAATCTTGGAGCAGGCCACCAGCAAGAACATGGCAAGGTTCAAGAACTTCTCAAAATCAACAGCATAGGAAAAGAACGTGGAACAGCTGCTACATGCGAGCCTTTAAACATGGGGGTAGTAGTCCAGGGGATAAAATCATGCATCTAAACAATAAATGCAAAAAGACTGATAAAAGGAGAGGATTATAAAGCCAGAACTTGGAAGGCTACAGCTTAAAGCACTCTTGGGAATAAAAGGACAAGGATCCAGGATGCTGTTGCAGCTCGCAAATTCACTGACCTTTATGGCTAATGACCAACAATAACAGTGCATTCCGAAAAAAATTTCTAAATGAAGAAGTCACCTGGAAGCAATAAGAAGACAAGGTTGTTGTCAAACCAAGCAACCAAAAAGAAGGTTGTTCTAACAGTGTATGTGTAAAATGTAGATGAAAGCATGCCTCATCATGAAGAGAGATCAAACACTATCAATACAATAATTTAGCAGCAGCAGAGCTCACAGCAGTGATCTACAAGACAAGATATTGTTAGGCCCATTGGGTACTTAAAAAAATGATAAAAATAACACCACTGCCGAAAAAAAACACCACTTGGCAAAGTCAGAAAATGCTACTATGAATGCAGGGAACAAAACTGCATCAGAATTCCCAGGAAAAATGGTATGTGGCCAATGCCAGTGGCCTTATTAAAGAGATTCCAGACCATGCTGCAGGTTACACACACATCCCGCTTAGATAATTCTGCAGGCTATTGGTCCTCTTCATTCAGTGACATTGGAAGAGAATCCTGAAACCAAGCTGAAATGAACAGCAATAGTCAAAGGACGAGTGACAATGTAATGCATTGGTTCACAAATGCTAAAACACTGAACCCTAAAGTATTCCCTAAATTCCCTCAAGTATAGAGAATGTCTCGAGTAATAGCCACCAATGTTACAATCTACTGCTGCACAGCTGGGTGTGAAACAAGTGAAGGCACAAGAAAAGCAAGGTCTGTTAGTCCTTTTAACACTTTCGGAAGTGTATGCTGCCACCTTGTGGCAGCTAGTGTAGCAGGTTGTTTACTAATATGTAGTTAGAGATAACCGATTCTCCTTGTGATCCAAACAATTGCTCATACGAGATGTCAAGTGGTTTGTTCCAATTTCTTTGTCTTATAGCAAGCAGTTGCTCAGGTAGCAGATTAGGATTTACTCTCTACCATCTTCTCTTCGAAAGGAAGACCACTTGAGAAGCTCACCATTATGTTTAGCAGCATACTGGGTGAACTCTGACCCAGAGTCTGGGAGCAATCTAAGGGGCTGTGCCCAGAAATAGCTGCTTAGTCTACATTACCCAATAATGAAAAGAACTTTAGTTTGATGATCATACATAAGAGTTATAGCTTTCAAGTCAGTAGAATTAGGAGTTATTTGAATTATGAATAGAAACTCATTGGATGAACAAAAATTGAAAGAATAATTTGACATGGCAAACCCCAAACCCGTCAATAACAGTGTTACCTGAAGTGAGAAAATTAATGTTTAAACCAAGTGTGTGAAAGTAGGACAGGACTACACATGCCAGGACTGAGAAAGTGGGCATAGAGCATGCATGTTAAGACTGGGCAATGCTAGAGCATGCATACTAACATAGGGCATAGTTAGCACACACACACATCCTGGGCATAACTAGAGCCTATATATCCTGGGCATAAAACATACATATCCTGAGCATAATTAACCCTTAAACTGCTTAGCATAAGGGGCCTGGAAGTGAAAAACATTCAAATTATGTAAAAATTACTTGAAAATGTTAAGCCTTAGACTGCGCAATACCTACATATATGATTTGACAAAAAATAATTTAACACAAATTTGTAAAACTTGCACAAACACTTTCCATTTTTTTTTTTTTTTTTGCATAATCAACTAGGCAAATGCTCCAACTATGTCTAAATGATCACAGCATAACTTGAAAAACAAGAGAATCAAAATTTATTTTAAAACTGAATATTGAAAACTTCAGATTTTTAATTCAGAATAAAAAAATATGAACTATCACCAATTGTTCATTTAATGTTGTTATTCTCTTAGAATAGCATATGATCTTCATTTTCATCAAATTAGAATACAAGTTTTCAGTATAGTTTATTGTAAACTATAATCATCAATATGGCATTTGAAATATGCACAAAATTTAGACCAAAAACAATTAAACGCCAAATGTATAAAGCTTATGAAAAATCCCTTCTGAAGGGAGTGTAGAACAGACAGCTGAGCACACAACGTCAAAATAGTGAGAATTGGTCAAAAACTGGAATTTTAGAAGCAACTCAAAGTTGAAAATCTAGTTTCAGAGATAATTGAAGTTGAAGTTATCAACAATGAATAAAGGCAGTTTTATTTTGTTAATTTAATTGTATGTTTTAATAAACAGTGTTTGGCATTCGTACTCGAATATGTGAAAGTTGTAGGTCAATATGTGTTGTAATTAAGTCAAGACAAAATAACCCCCCCCACCCCAAAAAAATATAGGGATAATTATAATAATTAAAATTATTTAAGGGATATCTTTAGGGTATACTTTATACAAGTGAAAAAGCCCTAATATGGTTCCTAATCATCAAAACAACCTAAAGAGACAAAGAAAATAGTTTGAAATCAGAGAAAAAAAAAAAAAAAATCAGCCAAAAAAATTTAAAAAGTCCCAAGTTTTCTGAGTTGTGACCGATTTATTTGTTGACCAATTTCATTCTACCTTCACATAGTTATGGAAACATATGCATTCTCCAAGATGTAAAGGTTACAATAAAATCAGATAATAAACAAAGGAGAGAAAAACAAACTGAAAAATATTTTTGGGACATTGATGGAAGTAACATAATATTAATATTGGGTAATGTATTTTTATGATATATAACAAAATAGATCATATTAACATAGTTATTATTATTTGTGTTGTTATGTATTACTAAGCAATGATATAAAGGCACCAACTACATATCCACTTTCTGGACACTTCTTACTATTATTATTCTTCTTTGAGCGTCGGACAGGTGCTTGCATCTCTATTACTGCATAATCCTTTAATTCCAGTTATTAGGAGCTGTTCTCCTTATCAACAAAACATTCTTATTTTTCAAAAATTCATCTAAAATCAATTTCTGAAAATATTTTGATGAAGTTTCACGACACTGAAGCCAAAAAGTTGGAGATTTGTTTAACATTTTTAAGTTATTTTTACATAATTTGAATATTTTTCGGTACCAGGCCCCCAATATGTGCGGTAATATGCACCGTCTAAAGGTTAAACAAATCTCCAATTTATTGGCTTCAGCGTCGTGAAACTTCATAAAAATATTTTCAGAAATTGATTTTAGACAACTTTTTTAACACTTTCGCTCGGGGATGACGCAGCATTGCGTCATCCGTTTACTGGCGGTAATGCCGGGGATGACGCAGCATTGCGTCATCCACTTTAAAAATTCGCCAAAAATCAGGTTTTTATCCGATTTTTTTGGGACTGGTTTTAAAATGTGCGCCGATGTCTTCCCATTTTCTTTGTTGAGCCTCGTGGCCCTCAGGCGGCTTGGCACATGCCGTGGGCCCATTGTCTTTGCTCCACTGTTGTGACGAATGTCGCCTCCCCTCGCATCTCAAACGTGTGAACATTTCGGCTATTTCCCGTGGTTATATTTCTTACTGCGGCTTTAGAAACTATCTACGCTTACTCCACGATGGATAGTAATCATGAACAAGGCCCTTCCAGGAAGAAAATTGCGAAAGAAAGGCTTGAAAAGGGTGGGAATTGAGAGTGTAGCAGGAAGGCCTCTGAGCACTCACTCACGGCTAACGCGTGGCCCGTCTTCAACTCGTCGGCGGTTGGAGCGTGACCAGGTTTTTTTTTTTATATGCTAATGTTCCTCTAGAGAATTTTATTACGAACCCATTGAGACCAAATTGAAAGACCTAGGACAAAAATTGAGGTGACCAGAGTGAAAATAGTGAAAACATTTTATCCCGTTTGCGCGCTCCCGGGTAACTCGTTCGCACTTTCTCTGTTTGCTGCGGGTAATTAGCTGGGCTTTTGGAGTTTATATGCATTTAGTGTTGTAGAGAATTTTATTGCGAACACAATGATACCAAATTTAATCTCGTAGAAGGAGAATTGAGGTGACAAAGTTGAAGAGAGTATACACTTTTCGAAATTAACGTGCGCTTCCGTGACACGCTGGGGCCCATATCGCCCTGTCGAGGGGTGGCGCGTGGGGTGAGCGAAAGTGTTAAAAAGAAGAACGTTTTGTTCATAAGGAGAACGGCTCCTATTAACAGGAACTCAAGGATAATGCAGTAATTAGGAGATGCAAGCACCTGTCCAACACACAAGAAGAAGAATAGTACAGTAGTAAGAAGTGTCCACAAAGTGGATATGCGGCTAGTGCCTTTATAGCACTGCTAAGGAATACATCATAACACAAATAATTACATGTTATTATGTTCTATTTTGTTATATATCATATAAATACATTGACCAATGTTAATATGTTACTTTCATCAATGTCCAAAAACAAAAATTTATGGGATTTTTTTAAGATTTTATTTTTTTTTTCTCCTTTGTTTATTATTTGATTTTGTTGTAACCGTCACACACTGGAGAGCGCATACCAGTCCCAAACTATGAAGATAAAATGAAATTGGTCAACAAATAAATCAGTCACAACTCGCAAAACTTGGGACTTTGAAATTTTTTTGGCTGATTTTTTCACAGATTTCAAACTCAATTTTCCTCGTCTCTTTAAGTTGTTTTCATGATTGGGACCAGTTTGGAGTTTTTGACTTATATAAAGCACCTCCTATATATATTCTCTAAATCATTATAATTATAATAATTATCCCTATATTTAGCTTTTGGGGGGGGGGTATTTTTTCTTTATTTCACTTCATCACATATTGACCTACAACCTTCACATATTCAAGTACAAATACCAAACAATGTTTATTAAAACATACAAGTAAATTCATGCATTAGAACTGCCTTATTCAATGTCGATAACTTCAATTATATCTATAACTAGAATTTCAACTTACTTCAGTATCCAAAAATCTAGTTTCTGACTGATTCTCACCATTTTTACATATAGTGTGCACAGCTGTCTGTTCTACAATCCCTATAGAATTGATTTTTCATAAACCCTAAACGTTTGGAGTTATACATTTTTATTGTCTAAATTTGCACATATTTCAAATGCCATATTGACGATTTTGTTTGCAGTAAACTATACTGAAAACTTATATTCTAAATATATGAAAATGAAGATCATATGCTATTCTGAAAGCATAAAATTGTCAAATGAACAATTGGTGATATTTTATATTTTTGCAGCTGATTTCAAAACCTGAAATTTTCAATATTCAATTTTATAACTATTTTTTATTTCTTTGTTTTTCAAGTTATGTTGGTATTATTTAGACAAAATTAGAGCATTTGCCTAGTAGATTATGCACAAAACATTTGAAAGCGTTTAAGGGTTAAACCGTACATAACCTGAGCATAACTAGAGCACACATATCCGGGGCATAACTAGAGGCTACATATCCGGGGCATAACTAGAGCCTACATACAAACACAGAACAATTACTGTTCATACAAAGACTTAGCATACAAAGAATGGGCATACACAGGACATAAAGAAACTGGGCATACAAAGATTGTGTATACATAGCTTAGGTATATGAAGCATGACCATACAAAATTGGGGACATACAATGACTAGAGCATACAAAGACTAGGTATATGAAGCATGACCATACAAAGGTTGGGGCATATAAAGACTGGGTATTTACTCAAACAATTTAGATTTCTACTTCATGCCAATTTCTGCACCTTTGCTTAAATGTTTACATCAATTAGCTGCAGAATAAAAGTATATTACAGTTCAAACTATTTACCCCAAATGATACCATGGGCTAATGCTATCAGTGGCTAATAATGTCACGGACTCAAGTTGTCACGGGCTAAAGTAAAGTTGAAGGTGTCATACGCTAATCAAACTTGATTCATACCTTAACCAATCCTCTTCCCCAGAAATAGAGAATCGCGGCAGAGTCTCTCTCGAATGAGAATGGAGACGTCTTCTCCTCTGAACTTGGGGGGAGACATCCTCACTCTCGGTCTGCGATGATTCTGGAGTACTCTGACACACATGGCCTCCATCTAATTTACTGGCATTCCTAAATGATTATGAACAAGGTAATCTATTGCATTTAAAGTGAAAACAAACAATTTAGAAATAAACAGTAACATGTATCAGTAACAGAAAATACGAAATTGTCAAATATACGACTTGACATTTCCCATGCCCACCCCTCTCCAGTTCCGATATTTGTCTAGTGTCGGATCTTGGCTAGCTGTAACTAACAGGCTTCAGCTTACCGTGTTGAAACCACTACCAGGTAAAACCAGACCACTATATTATGAATGTTATCAGTTCTTCATAACGAGACAAAATAATTAACGCAAGAAAATTAACAAATAATAGAAACTGTCTATACAATAATCCTTTCTTTAAACTGATACGAGTTACCTGCACCACTCGTCTATTTATGATATTTACTATGTATGAACAGTCATCAATTGCTCAACACACCCAGGTGACTGACAAAGCTGTGAGCCTCGAGTTTTAAACGTGGAACACGACTCGTCACACGTAAGTGCTCAAGTTGCTTTTTTCTTAAAGCAATAACAGAGGACAAGTTAACACAGTTAGGGTTTTTTGATAATTATAGAAAACAGGAAAATAATATGCATGCTATGTGGGAGGCAAGAAGCTGCAACAAGGAAGGCATTGACTGCAGGAGTAATAAGCTGTGACAATGGAGAAAGCATCTGAAGATGTGTGGTCTTCATATGCACTACATGTAGTGGCACTGTAGTTAAAGTTGTTTTCATAGCTGTACGAGATGACAAAAACTGCAGGGCTAGTCATTGCAAGGTACAGCAGCATTAATGTATTTGCATGTGGTTAACCATAATATTAATTGACTGCTGAAAATATTGAGCACATTCACCAAGTCTGCCAAATGAAAGTTTGGCAGTCAAATTTTCCAAACTGAAAAATTATTATAGAGTAAGTGTGGCACTGCATGTCAAGACGCTGTGTGGCACTGCATGTCAAGACGCTGTGTGGCACTGCATGTCAAGACGCTGTGTGGCACTGCACATCAAGACCCTGTGTGGCACTGCATGTCAAGACGCTGTGTGGCACTGCACGTCAAGACCCTGTGTGGCACTGCACGTAAAGACCCTGTGTAGCACTGCATGTAAAGACCCTGTGTGGCACTGCACGTAAACCATTTTACATTCTGATGTTTAAATGTGTCATTTGTACTTTGATAGTAAACATTCCAATGATGCTAAAATGCGTCATTTAATTGCTATTCATGAGCATTCTTATAATCGTCCCCCATCATGTATAATCTATTAAAAATACAATTATTTTTTGCATCTATTGTCTAGTGCAGAGTTTCTCAATTGGGGTTCTGTGGAGCCCTAAGGTAACTAGGGGTTCTGCAAAAGATAATGATAAATAAGTTCTTTCTGATCATGTGCAAATGTATTTTTGAGTCATTTGTGATATATTTTTCTCATTTAACCAGTTTAAAAGAAAAGACAGAAATCGTCTCCCTTCCGTCACGTCAAAAGTTAAAGTAAGTTAACAGATGTTTATCTAAAGTATGACTGAATTATTTATTTCAAGGGTACAAAAGGTGAGCCCAGAAATCTTCATGATCCATGAAGGGCCGAGACCAGCTCGACCGGCAAAGTGTTAAGAGAGTGTTATATACTAACACATTTCGACATCAGTTAAACAGAGTTCAAGTTCAAGTATGTTTATTGAGATAAGCAATAAATACATCTCAAAGGGATAGAGTAGCTTAGGCTATTTCTACCCCCCAAATAAACAGGGGCATTCAGGGTGAAAGAAACTTTGCCCATTTGTTTCTGCCTCGTGCGGGAATCGAACCCGCGCCACAGAATTACGAGTCCTGCGCGCTATCCACCAGGCTACGAGGCCCCTTTTAAACAGAGTCTATCATAAGCACTAGAAGTGACAAAGTTACTACTGTATACTTAATAAATTCTGTGCAGGTATATTAGGATATATATTATGCAAGCAGTAGTAAAAAAAAAAAAACAGCGTTGAATGTATTGAAACCATCTTCTGGGTGAGCCCCGGAGGCTCCCTGGCACTTATCGGGCTAATGTATGTTATATTAGACTGGAACATTAACTATGGAGTTCAGACCTACCAGGGATCATGAGCCAGAACCTGGCCCCTTCAGGGAGGTTTCAGGGAACAATGGCCCTGAAAAACCCCACCTGTGGTTGGAGGTTTTCCTTATCTGCCATTGATCGGGGTCAATGGGCAGATAAGGCACCCAGAAAGGTAGACATAACAAAAACCCCACATTGTATGAAACTAATAACAAAAACCGAACAGAGGTAGAACTCCCTTCAATCCCAAGGAAACGAGGAAACAAGCAAACAAGCAAACGTAACACACTACTGCCATGCTGGTCGTCTGCACAGCCCTCCCTTCCCAGAGAGGGGAATAGGGGGGGGGACCCCTGGACCTCAGAGCACCGGCTGCATAGCACTCCAGTTCGGAAGCTAAGCTTCAACCAACGCAAAAAAAACGCCGACTGGTGGGAGAGAGAGTTGCCAGGGAGCCTCCGGGGCTCACCCAGAAAATGCCGTTTCATTACATTCAATGCTGGTTTTCTGAGGGGAGCCCCTATGGTTCCCTGGAGCTACATACCCAAAGAGAAGGAAAAGAGAGGGTTGACCTGGGAGGCGGCCGCCACAAACTCCGCAATGCGAAGTCAAGACAACAGGCTGCAACCTGCGACCCAAAGCAACACAAGAATGCCCAGGAGCAGACACGCTCACAAAATAACTGGTGGCCAGGACCCTGAGCGACCTCCAAAACCCCGCGACCGACATGAGCCCAAGACATGTTACCAAGCACGGCCGCCAAAGCTGCAAACGTCCAAACGGCACGGGCGCAAGGATAGACCGCAGGATGCTAGACTAAATAACCCAGCGGACGACCTCGGAGACCCCGAGTCCTGGAACAGGGAACGAGGGAAACTGGATCAACCCAAAGCGCATCCCCAGCCATATGGAAATTTCATATGGTCGCTGAGATGAACCTCTCAGGTGGGACACCATCAACAAAGCCACCTGATCACCATAGAGATGGTGATACACCCCGTGTCAAAAATACCAGACACAAAGAGCAGAGGAGAATGCCGAACCAGCCACGTATCGGAGAAGGCCAACCTGCCGAAAGAGGCGGAGCTGCAGGAAATGTCCCGGGTTTGGACACCGAGCAAGCGGTGCCTGAAAACAAGGCTGGGCCAGCCATCAAGGGGCCACGAGGACTACTCTCCCTGGGAAGGACTCCAACCGAGCCAGAACCCGAAGCAACAGCTGGACCGGGGGGGGTGGGGGTGTGGGGGGGGGTAGAAGAGGTACAGGTAACTCAACCTCAACCGGTCCTGCCAAAAGGCATTCACTGCGAATGCAGGAAGGGCGCCACATAGAATGGGAGATGCCGAGACCACGACGACACGAAGACGTCCATGTTCGAGAGTCCGTACATCCGGCAGAGCCAACGGAACGAGACAGCGTCGACCGTCCATTCTGTGAACAGAGGAATGAACAGAGACAGGCCGTCTGCCAGGACGTTGGACACTCCCCGGATATGAACTGCAAGGAGAGCCAAACCCTGGGAATCCAGCAGACGAGCCATCCAATGGGACCAACACCAAAGAGGCAAGGAACGAAGAGAGCCCCATGGTTCCAGCAATGAACCACCGGAGAACAGTCCGAATGGAGCCAGATGGTAGGGCCCCGAGTGATCCAAACCCTCCGAAGCGCAAACCAGACAGTCACGAATTCCCGAACCGTGCTGTGAACTCGACGGAAGGACGGACCACACTGTACCTGGCCGGCCTGGTGACTGCCAGTCACAAAGCTCGAGCCGAGAGATGACCCGTCCGTGAACACATCGATCGTAGGCTCGGGGAGGCACCAAGGCACTGAACCCCGAAAACCCCAAAGAGGAAGCCGGCGACGCAGCAACTGACACAAGGCCCCTGGAAGACGAACCTAACAATTGTGAGAGAGGCAGAAGGGGCGTCCCCGAAAGAACCAAAACAGACGCCGAAGCCAAATCCGACCCGGCGGGTAGACTAGCATGGCGAAGTTCAGACTCCCACACAACTGTTCGAGCAACCGTCAAGTGACCCGGGACCCCATAAAAAACAGCCGAAGGCGGGACCGCAGCCACAGCAACGCCTCCGGAGGAAGAGACAAAGAAGCGGTCCGAGAGTCCCAAACAAGACTCGCCCAGGTCCGAACCTGGGACAGAACCAGATGGAATGTCCTCCAGTGCACAGGAACCCGAACCCGGTGAGCTGGAAAGAACCACACACCCCTGGCAAGCAGACAAGCGGACCGACCAGGAGACTGCACCAGCCATTCGTCAAGGTGGGCCAGAAATCGGAACCCAAGCAGACATAGACAGGTCACCAAGACCCGGTAAAGATGCGTAAATACGCGAGGTACCAAATACAAACTAGGGCAGGCAACAAAAGCAGCAAGCCTGAAGCCCCACTACCAACTGTGCCAGTCTCGGAACCCTGGAGAAGAACGTGCCAAGAAGTGTACCAGAGGTCCAGGGACACCATACAGGCACCTGGCCCCAACAGAAGCCGGACCGGAGACAAAAGTCAACCGAAGAAGGCCAAAGAATCCAGGGCACAAAAGAACAAGTCCAGAAGAACTGCAGATTTGCAAAGTCCCATGTCAGCAATGGAACAGGCGGGAATCCCGGAAGGATGGGGCAGTTCGACCACGTCCAAGCGCACCCATACAAAGATGACATGACTAAGCGCAGGAGAAGAAGCCCACCGCCAGAATCTCGGCACCGACTAAACCCCACCCTGACCTCAAAACCCGCAGTCAGTCAGGAGCCGGGAACAGGGAGGGGAAAGGGGCGAACAACAGCTAACCATAACGGGGCAGACCCGGGGCATCCGGGTGGGAAACCAGCCTAGCACGTTGCAGCAACCTAAACTGAGCATGCAATGCGGAAGCCGCCTGTACACTTAACAGTAAGGATATAAGAAGAGTACTGGAGAACAAGCAGAGAATACAACTCGCA